GAATCTATGGCAGATGGATATACAGAAACAAGTAAATGAACAAACAAGATTCATTCAAATAGCAGTGTTCAGTGTTCACCATATACCATAAATATTTATCATACAATTATCGAATCCTCGAGTAACAGAGTTCAAAGCTTAAAAAAGTTCCAAGGTTGGATGCACATCAATTTTTAATGTGCCAGCAAAATAGTTGGGTAAATGATTCCCAGCAGCAAGTTGATGCAAATTACTGCCTTGTTCCTTACATAAACTCTTAATTTTTTTGGCTAACAAAAAATCTCATACAATTTGTTAGTAAACAAACTTCATCACCTTCAATGTAACATTTGGATATTTACCTAATGGAAAAATGTGTTTAGAGAAGTGGAGCTATATAATGATCTAATTTCTCCACAGACATCGCAAGGAAATTTCAGACTTGATTGTTCAAAGGCTTATCATAACCATGAGATGAAACGAATCTAAAGTGTTTGTTGTGTGTTTTCATCAGACAGTGAGGGATGCACCATTGTCTGCTGCTGTAAGATTGAGGATCATTGTCGCTGCCTTCAAAGACCTGATTAAAAGGTACCCAATGACAAACATTTCAACTTCTCAAACCATAAGGCAAAATAACATGAACAAGACAGTTAAAGGAGAAAAAGTAATGTAAGCATTTTGCAATGTATTGGTAAAGTCAACCTACTTATTAGAATATTAACTTTTATGCCTAGGCTATGTTGTAAAGGAAGTTTGACAGTTTTAACATTCGTACAAACCTAAATAATGTTTTATTAAATAAATTCTGTTATTCCTTTAATTTTACAGATCTTCTAATGAAATGTGTGCAACGTGTGCGACCTTCAAAATTCAAACTACTTATTAAACATCTTTATCTCATTATTTGACATATAAAAGTAATTCACATGGATACCAATAATCTTAGCACAATAATCTAAACAAAAATAAATGTCGCTAACTAATTACTAAGTATAGTTTACCAAGAAAAGTTATTGGATTTAAACTGATATATAGAGATACCAATTAAAATCAGTCACATCCCAAAGTCAAAGGATCATAGTCAAGGGTTGAATTGGCCCCAAATATGGTTAGCAGGAAAAAAGCACAATCCCAAATCTAGAGATGTGCCAGATAGATCAACATAATTAGTAATAAAAGACTCTACTTCTCTTTTTATTTTGTCAAGGTTTAGTTCCTTACAAACCACTCCATAATACATGTCACTCTCTTTATGTCCTGCTTAGTATCAATTTGGATCCTTGTTATATTTTAGTGTTCCAGTGGTGTAGCTCCTTTTGATTGAATGAGATACATGGAAGTCCCCCATTGATAAGTAGACTGCTTGCTAGAACACTCAAATCATCCATTTGAGATTTTTTATTCTTATTTTGATACTATAAGACCTTCTCCCTACAGTTTCTTTCCATCAAATTGAAATTTCCCCATATAACCACATTTCAGATTCCATTCCACTTTCTAACCCCTTCCCCTGATATCCTCCTCTACCTAAATTTATGTCTCCAATCCACTATCTTACCAGCATTAGTTTTACATCTTGTGTTCCTTATTGCTTGGCTTCAAGTCCCTCAGTATTGTTTGGATCTCCTTGCCAGATCCTCTCTATCATTACAGCAATCTAGTGCAACACTAATCCAATTCTAAATAAAATTAATGCAGGTGAAAGGGAAGATGAAGGATGGGAATATGCTAGTTGAGGGAGTAAATCTAGGACTTTATTTTATATTTTACAGGTTTGAGTTGTAACTTTTAGAAATATGTAGGCTATTTTAGATTATTTTGTAATAATCAGTGTTTTACCTTTTTCGAAGTATTGTGATTTAGGGTTATATTTGATATTTTGCATTTTATTAGGGTTAAGAGTATAGTTATAAATGCACCCGAGTATTTGGCTCATTGGTTGGTGCATTATCCCCCCCTAAAGAGCAAGGTTCGAATCCTCTCTCCCCCAATTATAAAAAAAAAAAAAGAGTATAGTTATAAATACTTATTTTAATTTGGAGTAGGTTTGATTGTTGATACATTTGACATTGAGATTTTGAATTGAGAAAGACTTCACATTAGAATTAATGCAATTGAGATTTTCAAACTACTATTGAATGTTATAATTCCGGATTATCTGTTCTACATCGCAGATTCTACCAAACAATAGAACTAATTGAAAAATAATAAAAACCTATATGGACTGATATAAACTTCAGGTTTAATAATCCAGCAAGGTTCAAGTCTGTTGTGTGCATGGCTAAAGTTAAAATTAAAAGCTATGCCAAAAACAGTTACAATCAAGGCTTTGAAAGTGGTGAAATATGCTTTTATAGGGAAAACGCCACAAAGAGACCGCTGTCATTTCACCATAGAAATTATGCACTGCAAATAGCGGATTCAAATTCTTGGCATGTAGCAGCTCCTATTTAAAACTCTGGTCACAGGTAGCCTACTCTGTAATTTGTTTTGACTAGAAATTCTTTCAAGCTTCTAATCTGCTAAAGCAATCTACAGTACTCACTATGTAACAAAAGCAACAGTTTTGAAAGTGGGAATTAAAGCAAAGGTATTCGCCACTATATTGTTCTTTTGCATCTGCCATGATGCATCCATTATATATCCCAACTCTTAATAGAGCTAAAATCTATTTTGTAATGGTTAGGGTTAGAGAGAGCATATTTGAAATGTTTGCAATGGCGATCTTAGAGGAATTTATCTTCCGATGAATTGAATTAAGAGACTAGATTTTAAAAACAATTGCAATGGATTAGAATTTACAAGTTGTTAATGCATTTGACATGAAGAGCGAGATATTTTAGCTCAATTTATCCTGCTTTCTATAGGATTCCGAAATATAATAAAATTGATATCACTTAAATGCACAACTGCATAAACTGACAAAAATAAATAAGTCTTAATAAAACTTATAGGAAAACTCTGCATACCATGCTTCAGGTGTCTGATATACTGAGGCTGAACTTCCAAAGCAAGATTGAAGCATCTCAGTATTTATCACACCTGGACTAAGTGCCACAACAGCAAACCCATCAGGCATTTCCTTTGCCACCGCTCTACTTAAACCCTCAACAGCCCACTTTGATGCACAGTATGGTGCAACCTGTTGAGATACAAGGATGTTTCAAATTTGGTTCACTATTACTACAAAAGGTTTAATTCAGCTTTAAAAAGTGCAAATAACTGCCTATAAATTCACTTCTATTGTTTTCACCAATGGTTCCTTCATTTCAGATAAACAACTGTGAATTTTCGGTTGGGCTAATCATAGCATTTAATATAGGACAATAAATCAAAATATATGAAATGTGAAAAAGATGAAATCCTGAATTTACCAGGGCAGCGCCTGATCTTCCCCATCCAGAAGACATATTAACAATTATCCCTTGCCTTTTTGGAATCATCAAAGGGATAAAGTGACGCATCACATTTGCAACCCCTTTAACATTTGTATCAATCACAGTATCAAACTCTTCTGCAGGAACCTCCCAAATTCTGTTGTTTTTGTTGATTGTACCTGCACTATTTACTGCCAATACCTTAAACGTTAGCAAAGTAAAGACTGAAAGAGCAGAAGCTACATGGATTTCAGCTTAGCATAAAATGCGCTCTAAAGCTATTGATTTATACTCACTCCAATTTTAGACAAAGAAACAGACATAACGCAAAACAAGACAATTGCCCTATCTTTATTTTTGTTCGATTAATAGTGGTTTTTCAAAATTAATGTGACTATGGAGAGTATGACTTGATTAACGAATCATAAACCAAAGCTTCGCTAATGACTATGTACTCGGATTGAGTATAGTTGAAGAGATGCCTAAACATTTTCGACTAATCGGGCAGATACTTCATTTTCTCATAATTATGTCAAACTAAGGGCATGTGTTTTTGACTTGTACGAAATGAGGTAACCTAGAACTGTTCCAGAAGCACTTAAACAGAGCTTAATTTCAAATCTAACGTTCTTCTTTTTGGGACAAGAATTGGAAACTAGAATAAAAACCTAAAAGGCTAAAGCGAACAGCATTACCGATTATGTCTGGAACAACCTTCTTTTCCATTACTAACCGAGCTAGCTCCTCGACGCTGCTATTCGACCTCTGCAAATTCAAACGAAAAAAGAACAAAAAAATCATTTCACTAGCTAAAAAACAGAGCAGCCTGTAGAAAGAGCACAGAAATGGAGTGGCGAATAGGGGGCGAACCACGTCGACATTGAGGAGAAGGTGACGGTCGGGGGCGGCGAGCTCCGATTGGAGGGAGTTGAGTTTTTCCTGGGAGCGGGAACACCCGATAACCGTGTGGCCTCTCTTGGAAAGCTCGAGGGCTAAGGCTCTCCCCAGCCCTTTGCTCACTCCAGTTACCATAACCGTCTTAGCGGCTCCGTTCGACCGGCTAAACGACGCCGTCGTCATTCTTCACTCTTTTGCTCCTCCTCTCCAAGGACAGAAACAAACAAACGAAATGGTTATGATCCTTTTTGGATTCAAATTTTGAAACCTGAAAAGCGCTGATGTAAATTGAAGAGCAGTTGCCGTTGCCACCGCCTTTGATGGATATAAAATAGCGTCTAAAAGTAACGGTGGAAATGAAGTTCAATCGCACGTATCACGAGATTAGATATAATTCAAATAATATCTATAATTATAAATAATATTATTAAGTATTAGACATATATTCAAACGAACTTTAATAAAATTTTTTATTATGTTTAACTATTATAAAATTATAAAAATTATTTTTATTATCATTTTATAAATTAATAATAATTTTTAACTTTTCATTATCGTTTTCATTCAAAGGTAAATTCAAATATTATAATTGATTTTTTACCATAAACATCAGTGCTAATTCTACAGTGATATAATCGATTATTTAAAAAATATACATTGTCATTTGAATTTAACCTAAATAATAAAAATATGATAAATTTAGATAAAATTACTAATATTTTGTATTTGTGAAAATTTTTAACATTTCTTTAAATAAAATATACATGAACTTATTATTGAATCAAATAATCTGAGTACAAAATTTCTAAATAAACAACCCGCCGGTAACCCGGCTTGATTCTCTTCTAGATTATTAAGCTCCTGCTGAAATGTACTATTTGTTTGCCCTGAAAAGAAAAGGAAAGGGTGATGCTAAAGAAAGACTTCCATTGAGGAAACAATAAGAATAAAACAAAGAAACATAACCCATTAGTCCCTGGCATTCATAGCAGGTGCATGAATGCTATCAAAGCAAGCAACTAAAAAACAACTATTCCATTTGTAATTCGCAGGCTATTGGGGACACTCATCCAAATTCATCAAATATTGCATGAATAAATAGATTGCATCGACGATAATCGGATATAGGTTATGCCATCCGTACTCTTGATTCTTAACAACTCATCAATCTGCTATACTTACGAATATAGAAGGAACACTGTTGACTTATACTATCGCATACAAGCTTAAACATTATCGATAGTTTACAAAATAAATATTTGTTCTTAGTATTTAGTGTCAAAGGGATGAATAAAACTGGCAAGGCTGAGAGTTCTTCAGCCCGATTTAGCACAAATAATTGCTTTCATGCAGATTTTGCCACCAGCAGCACCCATATGTTTTGTTGCTAGGTTGAGAATACTTTGCCACAGAAAAGGGCATACAGCACCTTTTTCCATGTGCACATTCAGCTTAAAACGTGCAGTACCCTTTTCCATGTGTACATTCTGCTTAAAACCTGCCTAAAATCATTTTAAGACCATGTTTTGCTCTTTCAATAAAAATAGCCAAAAGTTCTCAAAAAGCAGCCAAAGGATGCCGACAAAGAGACTCAAGCAAGAGATTCAAGGAATTATATAACATAATTTTTTGCAGGGAAAATAGAACATTGAAATTCACCTGCCAAGGAAAGAATCATCTTCAGTACTGATAATTATTTCTTCACCTGTTTCGAGATAAGGTGGTACCTGAGGAAGTCATAAATTAGGTAAAGAAAAACACAACGTTTTTCAAATTGGCTGAAAAGATTAAAGGACATCAGAGCATCAGAATCCATAAGTAGAAATGCAGAGAAAGCTTATAACTAGATGCCCTATAAAATTATTATGAGCAAAGTCAACAATTAAGAAATAAATTCTTCTTAGTATACAGTCCATGTATTTCAACCCAATCCTGTCCAGCATCCAGCCATTGAAAGAAGTTTTGTTGGCCCATTCTATTTGGTTAAATCAGATATGTAGATGATATAACATGTGGGTTTTAGATTCCATACACTTAAGGTACATAAATTCATTAGCAAGCAATATACTATGACAGTGTTGTCCTTTATAGTTGAGCACAACGAAATTATAAGCCCCCACCAAAGCCCTCCCTTCACTAGCAATTTCTTTGTCCGATAGGCATAACAATCTACATGCACAAGGATGTAAAATGCTTAAGGCTAAAATTTTATAGATAATTCAAAGAAATAGAAATCAATTGCATGTTTAACTTACTTGAACAGTGAGGCCATTGTCCAGCAAAGCCTTTTTATACCTGCAGCAAGGAGAAGTATAAAGACAAAATCCCAAGTCAAAAGGCCTACAAGTGATTTACCAAGCAGAATTCTTCGACAGAGCACATTGCCATTATCTAACAAAATATATTATGATGTAATATGCAGAGACATGACATTTGGAATTACCACAAGCAATCATTTACTAATTTCTTAAGATGAAGTAAAATTAGGAAAAAACCATTAACAAAGAAAATGATTAACAACATTATCATACTGAAGTTTGGTTGAGAAAAAGAAACTAACATATCTTATTATCAGGGCAGAGAGAGAGAGAGAGAGGGAGGTAGATATTGTTTGTGCTGTTGTTGAAAAGGAATTGCGGAAATCTACTCTGATCACTGAAGTCAGAGAGAGAAATCACATGGATAGGGAGAGAGAGCAGATATGTTACAATGAGCAGAAACTAGGAAGCAGACTGGATTCTAAAGTTTTAGAGGTGCAACGGATTGTGAAGCTTTTAAAATCCTAAATGGATTTCGCCCAAATTCAAATTTGGCTTCTTTAAATCACTTCCTAAACTATGAATTTGAATTTATGTCTGAGTTCAACTCAAAATATACATTCATCTTCAACACACATGTCAGATGCACATCAGAAGCAATCACATTCATAACACAAGTCACATATTCACAAATTGTTTTTTTCTTTTGGCACATGGACGCCCATTAGGCATAAGGCTACAGAAAGGGAGGCAGCCTTTTTCCGTTTCATAAATCCCAAGATTCAAACTAGAGACCTGCAAGTTGGAGTCCAAGGTTCTAAATGCTGGGGTGTCCCCATGGGGACAAATACAGAAATTGGTGCCCATTGTTCACCATCTCAAAAAATAAAAGAACACGTGTATATAAGCAATATTAAATCATGGATACTCTAAAGATCCAAACGATAATCATTATTGACTTCCCAACTCTAGAGCAAGGGTCATATAACTTTTTCTCACTTCAAACGCCAAAAAATATACACTTATACATGTCCTTAATAATGCATGCAGACAGGACAACCCATGAAGGTATAGCAAGTGCTATTGTTTGGATATTTAGTGTAATCTTTTCAGCAGCTTATCAAATACATATCTATCATGACCATAATAACTGGAACAAGTTCATGCAAAAATTTAATTAAGCAGCATTTCTCAGAAAATATTCTGAGGCATAAACAGGTTAAAATGACATAGACATCAGTATAGTTAAGGATATAATGAGCATTTATAAAATGGAAAACATACCGAGGGGTGGATGTAATACCCTTCATTGGAGCTTGTGTTTCCTTAATAGTACATGTTACACGCTTTGGAACTGATGCGCTCAAAGGTCTTCCATCATATAACTGCAATCTAACTTTCATTTCCTCTGTTATGCAAGACATAATATTTAGCAAGACAATAGGAGTTCAATCAAGACAGCTAACAACCATGGAGCATAAATTGCAATTGCAATCAAAGAAAATGCTGATCATCAGCAGCAGAGAGGCACGAAAGAAATCCACATCTTTAGAGGGAAAAAAAGGAAACTAAATAACATTCTAGGACACTAAGGCTCAAAGCTTTTAATCAAGTCATTGAAACTAGTGGAGCACCCCAGGCAAAAAAGAATAAACTGATGGATTACTCCAGCAGCAGCCTCCAAGAGTGTTTAGGAGGCTTGAATGGTTCTAATGCCAAGCCCTAATTTAGCGCATATCCAATGATGAGAAGCTAAGATGGGAGCTTGCGTAGGCATTTTTAGTTGTTTTTTAGTACATAGAGTTATGCTCTTATTTTAATTTTCTGTTTTACGATTAAATTGTATTTTCATGATTTTCTTGTTCAGATTTTGATCTAGGCTCTTGATCTGTGTTTTCCTTATTCCTTACCCTATTGCATTTGTTTTATTTGGAGTTTGAGTATTAGTTAAAATACTAACTGGAAAAGGAGTTCTGTTTCTTTTAGCATTAGAGACAATAGGAGTCTATATGTATCAATTATCAATGTACTCTAGCTATTGAGATATAAAGTGATATCAGATAATTTCCAGTATTATTGCTTTGTGATTGTACAATGCAATCAATCTAAGGCATGACTCATAACGAATTCTAGGTGTAAAGCTTAGGAAACCCTTTTTCTCTCCCTTTCTCTTATTTCAATTTTTCCTGTTTTCCTCAAGTATTGAAATCCGAAAACAGCCATAAACCCTAACCACCTAGCTGTCCTACATCAGAAAACCTAATGAAACGCAAAAATGATACGTATAAAGGTAAGAAGCAAGACAAAGATAGTGATATATCAACAATAAAGATATGTATGAAACTAATAGTTGATTTTTATTTATGGAAATCAATTCATTAAAAACTACATACAAGAACTATAATACTACTGCAATATCCATTTATTTTAACTAACTGCAGAATGATTCCCTCCAAATGGTTGTCTTTCCTAAGAAGAGAAGACAGGTAGCCATTAGGTCACAACAGCTTCAAATATAAGTGGGTATAATTTGAAAAGGCTACTTTGAATAAAACAACTGCCCCACAGGTCCCAACTAGAAGTAGCATTCACTAGTAGATGACAGCTAGAAAAGGAGGTTTAAAGAATGGTAGGTCAAGTTGCCTGTTTTGATGGCACTGTAACAGGGATGGTGATAGCACAATACTGTGGCTAAAGCAACAGGAAGATCATTATGCATGTCGTGGTAAGTATGGTGAAAGTGACAGTAAAAGAGGGAGTCAATTGAACTACAGAGTTAATTAGAGGTAGCAATGGCATAACAGAAAACAGAGGTGCTTGTTATAGAAGATGAATTACAATTACTTCCAGCAAACCAAGTACACAACCATTACACAAACCAGTCTTAATGTTGATCAACCTTTTAGGTATGCAGCAGACTTTCCAAATAAGTCCAATGGTACTTGCAGTTGGTCAAATGTCTCAGGCCTGACAAGCAATACAAAAGAAAGAAAACTCATTGATTTTGTAGAAATTTTTTTTTTCACGGTAAATGCAAAATGTTTAAAAAGTTACTCTTGGAAATGGATGGCAAACCAAATCAAACTCACTCAATCAGAAATGCAGTGTTCTTTTCAGTGTACAAACATGAGAAAGACTTCTCCTCAACAAATACTTCTGCAACAAATAATATATAATTAAGCTAACCAAGACAAAGTGATGGATCCTAAGTCATATCAAGTCTTCAAACTCAATGCAATACCATAGCCCACAAATCCTCAAACTTAAACAAACCGGTAAGTTAAGATGCATACTTTCAACAGGCTCCTCAGTGCCGAACCGTAAACTTACTTTGTTTCCATTGTCAACATCACGAAGCTCCAGCTGAGTTTTTGGAGAATAAAGAAAAGAAGAAATTGACATTATGAATGTTTGGAAAATAAATTAAGCAAAACTTTTATACTAAAAAAAAAAGTTAACCAATAATACATTTTTCTCAAACTTATTTCAAGATACTATACAATTTTTTATACACTTTAGCAATTTGCTTACACTTTCTCCCTTCATTAAATGTGTTTTATCACTATTTCAAGGCAAGTGTGCATTCTGAAAATAGGCAAAAAAAAAAAAATCTGAGATTCTAATCAGCACCCAACAACCGAATAAATCATAAGATTACATAAGGGAACCTGCATCATTGCACCCCCTCTACCTCGCTGCTTATGCTCTGATTCTACTACCTACAAACAAGTTATATAAACAAATGTCAAACTACAGCACTACGTAGCCTAAAAACAATCTTCAAGCAACAACCAAGGCATCTTTGATGGGACAAAGGGCAAATAAGTACCTGGTAGACACGTCCTGAGGCAGTCATAGATTAAAAGTAGCATTTGTTAGCAGGCATATTATTTCATGGGGAAAAAACAAAAGGATTTAAAATAAATTTTGGGTTATGAAGTTAAAAGCAAACCCGATTTTTCAATTACATTGCCAGGCCGAAGCTGCAGCACAATCAGGAGTGACCACAATTCACAAAGAAAAGCTTGTTAATTAAACAAAAACAAAACCGACAAAGAAAAAGTATTAGCTATGCAAATATGGCAAGAGTACAGTGAGAAAGAGAAAAGAGAGAAGTTTTACGAGTGAATGTGATTATACATGAAGATGAAAGGGCAAAAAAGATATGGATAGCATTGACTTTGACACCGCGGTCTTGAGAGGCTGACCACGGAGCTAAGAAGAGAGTGATGGGAAGATGGGCAAAGCGAAACGAGAGTTGGATTTGCAGCATTGGGTTTGAGAAGGAACGATAGGGATGCACAGAGTCTCCTGCCAACTTCAAAAGCCTTCATTTTTACACACTGCCCGTGTTTGTGTTTATGCTTATCCTAAGTCATTATAAATAAATATATATATATATATATATAATATATATATTGTCACATTGATTGGAATTGAGTACCTATCCGATATGCCTGTATATCGAAAAAGTGGTCATATTTAAAATAATTATGATTAATTAATTTCATAATTGTTAAATATATCTTGACATAATATTTAAAAACAATTATAATTATTTAAAATTTTTATAAATTATTATTTTTTTACATTTAATCAATTTTTTATATTTTATTTAATATTAATTAATTATTATCTATAAAAATATTATCATTTTATGTCACGTAACTTAATTTAGTATTTTAATATGAAATAATGACATGATCATTAATTTTTTCTCTCTCTACTCAACATGTTAGATTGATAATTTTGGATACGATACGAAAAGACATAAGGTTAAACAGGTTTAGGTTTAATTTAACGTTTTTTCGTGTTTAATCGTATCTGACGTGCTAAGACACGAATAATACGTTTAAACATATTTAATTAATTATGTTATCGTGTTTAAACTTATTATCGTGTTTAATAGTGTATATGTGACGCGTTTATCAATTTATTAAAAATTAATAGTCAAAAACTATTTTAACCTTGCTTAAATAATTTTGGTTTAGGAGTTTAGAACTATTCATGATTAATGAGATTTATTTAATTGTAGATGAAAATTATGAATGATATTAGATATTATTAGTATTTTAAAGTTAGATGTTAATGAGGGATTTTATCATATTGCATGATAATGAATTTTATGTATATTATTTATGTTAAATTTTATTATATTTGATGTTATTATTAATTTGTTTTGTTATAATTATTTTTATAATTATTGATTTTAAATTCAAATAATAAAATTATATTTAATTGTAAATACTTTTTGTTTAATCCTGTTAAATGTATTAATCTGTAAATGTGTCAAGTATCGTGTCGTGTTACACAGTTATTAAACGTATATGTTTATGTGTTTCGGATTTAAAACACGAATATTATTCGTGTCGTGTTCATGTTTAACCTTAACATATTTCGTGTCTAATCGTATATAACACGTTTAAAATACGAAAACATGAATTGTCAAGTCTAAACATAATTAACGTCATGTTAATATTATGTAGATATAAAATGAAACATAACATGACATTTGACTAATGTGGTTTATATAAGAAATAATTAAAAGACAATCATAGGATCAAAATATGTATTCTGTATAATAATAAAAATAAATTAAAAAGTGAAGGGTGGTGCCATCATTTTCGACTTGGACAATTAATCAACACGGATCTATTTAATGCAAAATAAAAATAAGAAATTTAATTGGATGTAATGAAAAATAAAAACTTATTTTAATTTTCTTAAATAATTTAAAGAGTTTTTTAAAACATTATGTATTTTATTTTTGAATATCAAATTTCTTAAAATATAATAAAAAATTAAAATTAATTATAAATAATATATATAAATAAATAATCTAAAAGTATTGTATTTATTAAAAAATTAAAAATATATGATGTAAATGTCACTTAGTGTTCATTTGTCTTGGCTTATATTTAGCTTATTTACTGTTTAAAAATAGAAGCTAGGCCAAACAAAATTTAGTAAAAAGCTCTTAAAGAAAATAACTTTTTTAAAAGAATAAAATCTAAACAAAAATATTAAAAAAAAGCTCCAATTAAGTGCTTTCTCTTCTCTTTTTTTTTTAAAAAAAAAACATACTAGCTTATTAGGAGAGCTACTTGTTAAGCCTGTCTTCTACTAAGCTTATGTTAAACTTGGTCTGGTGCTGAGCTTGCTGTATGTACCCTTTACATGCTCCGCAAGCTCGTGGAGACACCATTTACGTCAATCTTGGATCTTAAGAACAAAAACCTTTGTTGAGCTAGATGCTTTGTGAGTAGGATTAGCGTTATATATATTCAACTTCTCTTCATCTTGTTCCCTCTCGATCCAATATATAGTTGAAAATTGGTTATTTTTAATTAAAAATTCATAGCCATAATTCTTCAATTTTCAAGCCACAATCTCTAACAAGCCAACCCCTAACACACCCTAACCATTGCTAAATTGAAAGTGAACTGCACAAATTCAGGGCAATTCTTAAGGAATAGGAAAAATTTATAAACCATGATTTGGGTTGGAACCATGAGACAAGAACCATTGAAGCTGATGCCACATGGTAGGAAACGAAAATAAGAGTAAGTATTTTAAATTTTATATGTTTCATCTACTATGAATTATTACATATGTACCTCGTTTAAAAGTTTCTTTCTCTTTGATGTTTGTGTAGGTTAATCCAAAATATGCCAGATTTCGATATCAAGGGTTGAAACATGTTGATGAATTGAAATTTATATTTAGGGATACAGTAGCCATTAGTCAAAATGCATGGACACTAACGATGGGTGTACCAATTGAAGATAATGTCAAATTTATAAATCTAACTTCGTTACAAGACAATGTTGAATTTGATGCTGAAATATTCAATTGTAATGAAGGTGATGTCTTTATAGTAAACACTCTAATCAAGAGGAAAAAAATGATGCCAGAAGAAATGAGAAAAAAAGTGGCAAAGGGTAAGGCAAAAATTGGGATTGCAGCAAGCTTACAAAGAACATTGGAATGATTGTGCGAAGCAGCAAAAAGTCATAACGCAGATGAAAGTGCTGAAATTTCAATATCATCACAAGCCACAGGACAATATAGTATTCCGGAGTATATTCGATTAATGAAATCTTTACAAAATGAAGAGAGATTGAGTGCAGATGAATTTAATTTTGCACTACAATTGATTAAAAAGGAAGAAACTAGACTTATTTTTATTTCTTTGTCAGATTTAAGTGATAAGCTAAACTGAATTCAATATGAGCATAATCTATCAAAAAATTATGGTGGGACTAGCTGATTAGTTTATTTTAGGTTGATGTTGAACTTTAAACTACTTTCTTTTTGTATTTGTGTTACTTGTTATGTTTAATTAAATTAGTGTTTGAAAGAATTTGCCATTATCCATGTTATATTAATTTGAATTGTTATTTTTACCATTTGATTTGTTTCAAATAATATTTATTTTTTAATTGATATACTTGGATTTCTACTTATTTATTTTGATATTGTTAAACAGATGTTTTATAATGAAGTCAGAGCATCAATACAAGTTGCAAAGAGAAGAAAATGTGCAGGGTTTTATCAAAACATGTATGGAGGAGTTACTATTGCAATTGTATATCACATGAAATACTTAATGAAACAAGAAAACAGATTCAATTATTCTGATGAATAGAATTGGGTACGTGAAACTTTACAAACTCTATGTGAAAGTTATAGAATATTTAAGATGGAATCACATGTTGTATTGCAACTTACAGATACATTGATAAATAAGAGATGGTTACATCCATCTAAAAACATTACAGCATTAGAGGCGGCTGCTATATTTCTTTAGACTTGTGCACACAGCGAAACAAATCGTAATGTCCAAAATAAATTTGAAAAATTAAAAAAGATTGTAAGTAGGAAGTTCGGTGAAGTGT